CTGGGGGCCTGGACTCCTGGGTCTGAGGGAGGAGGGCCTGGGGGCCTGGACTCCTGGGTCTAAGAGAGAGGGGCCTGGGCAGAGGCCCTCTGGGTCCCTGACCACTTTCTCCCCTCAGGTCTCTTGGAGTTGAAAGCCCTGAAGCCAGGGGTCATTCAAATCTTGGGAGTGAAAACGTCCAGGTTCCTGTGCCAGGGCCCGGATGGGACACTGTATGGATCGGTGAGTTTCCGGGGCCCCCCTTCTTGTGCTCCCCCCTTATGTCACCTTTGTCCATCTGGGGTACCACGTCTGGCACCTGTGGCCTGGGCCAGGATTGGTCCTGTGCTCTCCACGTGCCTACACCACGCCAGCACCCCTGCATGTGGGAGCTGACCTTGTCAATGTTTACAAGAGGAAACTGAGGCTTACGCAGGGACACACCTGCCGCCAGTCACAAGGCCTGTGAATGACAGAGTGGCCTAAGAGGCCGAGTCTTGTGACTCGGAACCCCTGGTGGCCACATGGGCTCCTACCTGTCCCGTTCCCGCTGGGCGCAGTGTCACTCTGAGGACCTATGGCCTGTAAAGTGACCGTGAGCCCTGTGGGGAAGCCAGACGCCCTTGTCTGGACTCAGAGAGCCTCGACTGGAATATTTCTGTCTGTGAAGTGGGGACGGGGAGGTGGGCCTTGCAGGACTGCTCAGGAGGGAAGGAGGAGCCTGCTTCTGTTGTTCTTGTCCCGGAGGAGGAGGGGGCTGGGGACCTGGACTCTGGATCTGAGGGAGGAGGGGCTCCCCCAGCTCCCTAGGAGTGTCTGGACTCCTGTATCCTGTTGGAATAGAGCACTCTGTGGTCTGAAAGAAGAGAGAGCTGGCGGCCCGGACGCCTGGGTCTGAGGGAGGAGGGTGCTGAGGGCCCAGACGCCTGGGTCCTGCAGCAGGAAGGTGTGAAGGAATTCCCTATCTCCGATCTCTCTTCTTGTCCCCTCAGCTCCACTTCGACCCCATAGCCTGCAGCTTCCGGGAACTGCTTCTCGAGGATGGGTACAACATCTACCACTCCGAGACCCTCGGCCTCCCACTTCGCCTGCCCCCCCACAACTCCCCATACCGGGACCTGGCACCCCGGGGACCCGCCCGCTTCCTGCCCCTGCCCGGCCTGCTTCCGGCCCCCCTGGAGCCTCCAGGGATCCCAGGCCCCCAGCCTCCCGACGTGGGCTCCTCGGACCCCCTGAGCATGGTGGGGCCTTCGCAGGGCCGAAGTCCCAGCTACACTTCCTGAAGCCACAGGCTGTTTATTATGGGGTCTCCTCTATTTATTGGGTTATTTATCTTATTTATTTTTTTATTTTTCTTACTCGGGATAATAAAGAATCTGAGAGGAGGACCCGAGTGAGTGTTTGAGGGAGGATATGGGATCCCGCTGCCTTGTCTCCCATTGACCCCAAGAACCCTTGCGCCCATTGTCAGGAGGCTGTGAGAATGTCCCAATCGCCCTCTGGGCCTCAGTTTTCTGCTCTGCTTAGGTGTCCCCAGGGACTCTGGACTATCCCTGCCCCTTGACAGGAGAAGGCTTGTTAACCTCCCCGCCTCCCCCGCCCACCCCCAACTTCGTGCTTGTGTTGTGGAACTATTTTTCTGGGGTCCCTCAATAACAGGGGAACATTTAAACAATGACACCACAGACCTACAGCCTCATGGGAGATGTAGTTTTCTGGGTCCACTTAGCACGAGGATTTGGATGACATCTGGGTCCTCAGGGGCGGGGCAAGGACTCTTGGATCCTAGGGGTCTAGATGGGACACTTGGGTCCTGAGGGATCAGAGAGCTGGACATCTGGACACCTGGGTCCCAGGAGAACAGGGGAAGAGGAACGTGGAACCCTGGTCTGAGGGAAGGACTGGAGAGTGGGAGTCCTGATTCTCAGGAGGAGCACTTGAGGATCTAAATGCATCCATCCAGGTGCTTATGGACTAAGGAGTATAACCACTGTCACAGACTCCAGTCCCAGTGAGTGAGTTGCCCGTCCTCCCTCCCTTCCCACCACCTAGATTTCCACATTGCTCCTCGGGTTATTTCCCGGTTAGGAAAGACGGGAGGACGGAGATACAACACCTCCCCGGGGTTATGGTCAGCGCCCTCTGGGTCCCGGGTGTCTGACTCACTACTGCAGCCTCTCGGGGAGTTGTGGTCTCAGACCCTTCATTTTTAATCCCCACATTCAAATGAGAGGAACATCTCAGTGGAAGGGCGGGGATATCAGTGCAGGTCCTGGCTGGTCATAGAAGGGATTCAATGCCCAGAGCAGATGAAAGTCTGCATCTCGTGGACAGACGGTTTTCCACTCGGATGGCAAGAGGCTGGCTCAGGTGGGGGACAGCGTTGTCACTGGAAGCAGAAGCCGAGATGCCACAAAAGTCACGGGAAAGAGAGTTTTCATTCCTGGCGGGGGGAGCTTCACCGGAGATGTAGGTTCTTCGTCAGAAGAGTCCGCCTGCCTCAGGAAAGATCTCCCACTAGATCTGCCCCATCACCTCTCACTGCTTCTAGACTCAATTCTGGCAGCTTCCACAGGGTGAGGTGCAAAGTGTGGTCAGTGAGGAGCTGCGAAGCACACCCAAAGAACAGCGGCATCTCGCCCTTGAAATTGGCAGTCACCTGGGGGTCCAG